TGAACAAACTATGAAATAAAGTCTAATCAGTTTATTTATTAAAAGACAACTATATAAAAAATTGCATAATTCTATAATACTATGAAGAAATAATCGTTTGTTTGTAAAAGTCCAAAAAACCTTCATATTTAGAAATTAATTTCTCACGAATTATTTACCTATCCCAATTAATTTTTGCTTTACTGTATTCATTTATACTTTGCCAAATGTGATATGAAATTTTACTACTTTCTTCCATTGCTTTAAAAAGATATATTGGAATACCATTTTTCGGTATAATTTAGGCAACCAGAGATGCATCAGTTTCCATCCTTAATACAATGTTTCTTTCCACTTGTAACCCTGTTCCCATATACAAATTACGAAGAATTAAATGAAATTATAAATTACATAGGAAGCATGGTTAATCTTAAATATGTACATATAAAAATTAAAGAGGTCAAAAAAATAAATGTATCAAATAAACACTTATTTAAACAGAAAATAAAGGTGGTTACCGCAAAATTCGTTCAGCCAACAAGCCAAAGTCGTCATAATCTTTCCATCCACATGTACACAACTCCCACTCATAAGGACAACACAAATAATTAATTTAGGACAGGACAAATAATGAATATCAAGCTGGAAGAGTGAATTGATTTTGTACAAATACGATTTAAATAAAATAAAAAACCTCCCACTACCAGGTACATAATAATTTTCGAAGCATTGCTTTCTGGTTTACCGCAACGCTTGTCTCGAAAATCATGTGGACCATCGAATACTGTGTTTCTAAGCTAGAAGTGAAAAACGGGACAGGTAATATTGCTAAAAATCACACATGCATATGAATTGCAAGAGAAGGAGATTTTGAACATTTTATAAAGATATTTCAAAACTTCTGATGTATTATCTAACTAAAACGATTCTTATTTATTTCTTCTTTTTATTAGAAATTTCAGTTTTCAAGTCTATACGGCATCGCAACACCGCCTAGTTGATCTTTCAACGTGTAAATACCACTATGCTTGTACGTTTGAACCTGAGAAGGATCTTTATGCTTCAGTTGATGCTTTTTTAGATATTTCTTGTTTATAGTTTTGTAATCGCACTCGTTACACCTGTACATTTGAACCTGAGAAGGATCTCTATGCTTCAGTTGATGCGATTTGAGATATCTCTTGTATATAGTTTTATAACCGCAGTCATTACACCTGTACATTTGAACCTGCGAAGGATCTTTGTGTTTCAGTTGGTGTCTTTTCATGTGACCTTTGTATTTAGTTTCGCAATCACAGTCCTTACACCTGTACATTTGAACCTGAGAAGGATCTTTATGTTTCATTTGGTGTTGTTGCATAGCACCCATGTATTTAGTTTCGTAATCGCAGTCGTTACACTTGTACATTTGAACATGTGAAGGGTCTTTATGTTTCAATTGGTGCTTTTTGATATATGGCTTGTATGTAGTTTTGTAATCACAGTCATTACACCTGTACGTTTGAATCTGCGAAAGATCTCTGTGTTTTAGTTGGTGATTTTTCATATAAACCTTGTATTTAGTTTCGTAATCGCAGTCATTACACCTGTACGTTTGAACCTGCGTAGGATCTTTGTGTTTCAGTTGGTGTCTTTTCAAGTCACCTTTGTATTTAGTTTCGAAATTACAGTCCTTACACCTGTACATTTGAACCTGAGAAGGATCTTTATGCTTCATTTGGTGCAGTTTGAAACTACTCGTATAGTTAGTTTCGTAATCGCAGTCGTTACACTTGTACATTTGAACCTGTGAAGGGTATTTATGTTTCAGTTGGTGCTTTTTGATATATGTCTTGTATATAGTTTCGAAATCACAGTCCTTACACCTGTACATTTGAACCTGAGAAGGATCTTTATGTTTCAGCTGGTGTTGTTTCATATCACTTTTGTATTTAGTTTCATAATCGCAGTCCTCACACCTGTACATTTGAACCTGAGAAGGATCTTTGTGTTTCAGCTGATGCCGTTTGATACAATTGTGGAATTTAGTTTCGTAATCGCAGTCGTTACACTTGTACATTTGAACCCGATAAGGATCTTTATGTTTCAGTTGGTGTTGTTTCACAGCACTTTTGTATTTAGTTTTGTAATCGCAGTCCTTACACCTGTACATTTGAACCTGAGAAGGATCCTTATGTTTCAGTTGGTGTTGTTTCATATCACTTTTGTATCTAGTTTCATAATCGCAGTCCTTACACCTGTACATTTGAACCTGAGAAGGATCTTTATGTTTCAGCTGATGCCGTTTAATACAATTGTGGAATTTAGTTTTGTAATCGCAGTCGTTACACCCGTACATTTTGGCCTGTGAAGGATGTTTATGTACCAACTTGTGTCTGGTAAAATGTGTCTTATTCTCTGATTGGTATGTGCAACCGTCACATTTATATTTGGGCAGTTGTGAAGTGTCCTTATTCGGTAACGCGGTGTTTTTGATTTTATAATCACCTTCAGAAGCGCTTTTGTGTTTCACCTGACACTTAGCAAGCTCACACCTGTGGCTTGTCTTGTAATCATATGATCCGCATCGGTGCATACTCGTATCCGAAGAGTCTTTATGCCTCAACCGGTGCTTCTGAAAAAATTTTTTATTTTCAGTTTCATACTCATTCATACATTCGTTTGTCGATCTATTCTCATGTTTACATCCATCCTCCTCTGCATCTCGACGAACACTCTTCTCGAATAAATCACTATTGGAGCTCTGCAGTAGCGAGTCGCTGAAAAAATTACATATACGGGGTATTTTCCAAAGTGAGGTGTTAATTCTAAGGGGTCATGGTTATTCCAAATGCAATTATGCAAGTTTCTGAACTCCACAGGGCATTATTTCAATTTTATTACCATATAAATCAAATTCTTGGCGACAATTATACTCGACGGCCAAAATTATAGCTAGTGATTCATTGCTAGCTCTTAGACTAGTAAGGGGGATGAAGCGTGCCGGGAACAAAAATCCATTGGCGTGTCTGCGTAAAAGGCTACGAGATATAGAAAATATTAAAAAAAGATAATAAAACATAACATCTAATATTTTTTACGGTTTGCTATAACCGGCACTTTGATCAATTTTAATTATTACAGCATTTTAAAACGTCCCAGTTGTGTTTTTTTAATTTATAAATTTATTATAGCCATGGAATTAGACCCCTCGTCTACGCTTATGCTATGACGTTTCTCAGGTCGGGCAAATCAAGTCCGTTTACACCCACTAAAAAAGCATTTCCCTATTCCCTACCAAGTGCAAAAGACAGAGATAAAATATAGATCGACGTTCAGTGTAACTCAGTCTATACACGATTATAGATTCTACCGATGTGCATGGCGAGTGGCACAAAGATAAATAATATTGAACCGTATAGAAATCATTTTATATTTTATACGCATTATGGTAATAGTGTTTTTATATTATGTATTAGTCACTCTTTATAATTTAGGCCGCCGAGTATAGTAATATTGTTATTGAAGATATGTTAAAAATAATTAATTATGTGAAAACCCTCGGAAATACAAGAAATTAATGCAAAAGATGCAAAATTAAATAAGATCTGGAGTTATACGGTTGCCTTTTAAATTATTCTTAAAATAGTGATCTCTTACCTACTTTCTTCATCTTCCGATTTTATGTCGATACTTTCAGCTTTGATTGACATTTCCATCTGATTGATATCGAATTCCTTGTCCTGGTTTTCAGTCTTAACAAATAAATAAGATGGTGACGTATCTATCAGACTTTCTGTTGCTGCGTTATTAGAAATACCCCTAATTTCTTCCTGTACTTCCAAGCAATTTTTTAGGAAACTGTTGTGGGTGCACACAGAAGCAAAGCATTCCTTACACACAACGGGATCTTTGATGATATTTATATTCTGCAAAGTAGTTTCATTATAATGTGAAAAAAGTAACTATTTAATATCATTGATACCATTTCAGGAGCCAATTTCTCGATAGCTTCAAGTTCCTCTTGACAAATGCACCTCAACTCACTTTCTACTGGCTCCATACACAATCGACATATTTTCTGACCGTCTGAAATATGCACTGACTCGCTTGTCTTTTCCTTCGTATACACATCTCTTATATCGAGCTGTAACATTTTTTCACAATCCACATATGGAATAATTGTGTAATGGGTCTTCAGACAAGTTGACTTAAATTCGAATGCTGCATTTAACTTTCTTCTGCAGACGTTACATATAAACTCTTTGCCCTCGGCATCAAATTTCTGAAAAATATGCAACTTTAACCAAAGAGAAAGAAAATAATACATTAGTTGCCAAAAATAAATAGAGTTTGCTCTAAAAACTTTTTCCGTGAAGGGGCGTGGTATTCGAGATACAGGATGTTCAAGTTTCCAAAAAAAATTATAAAATTTTGTTTATTGGACCTTTTATTGAATGTAATATTGACCTCGTAGTGTTAACCAGTTACTGAAGGTTACGCTCTGTTTTCCCAAGGAGAAAAACGCCATGGTGGTTTTTTGGTAGAAACAATGTTAAATTTGGGTACTGTCGCGTTAAATACATGAAAAGTGTTTCTTGGTGTTTTTTAATAGTAGGAGCCATTTAGGAACAATGTTAAATTCGGGTACTGTCGCGTTAAATACATGAAAAGTCTTTCTTGGTGTTTTTTCATGGTATTATTTAGTTGATATTTTTTTTAGAAATAAAAATATTTCTACAAAAAATCGCCAATGGCGTATTATTTTCTTGAGCGGACGCCTTAGTAGCATGTCAGTGATGTTAAAACCAGGAGGTTTTCATCAAATAATCTGATTAATTTATTAGAAAAATTCAATAAAACGTAAAAACAAGCCCAAATGTCTCCTAAACAGCTGCTACTACTAAAAAACAACAAGAAACATTTTTCATTTATTTAACATAACAGTAGAGTAGTTTCAAAATCTCGTGAGCAGCGAAATGCGCGAAAGGCGTGGCGTATCCACATAATTCTTCTAATAAGCACATTGTGAAAATATTGACTCAGAATTAGACCACGTACCTCGTTACAACCAGAAATGAACTAAGGCACTCGGGCATCAATAAAGTCAACTGGCGAACGTTCGTTATATATATTTTTATTGCTTAAATTAAAATAATAAAGAATAGAGCATTTTATTATGATATTTGTAATCAGAGCAGACTTGTTGAAGGTCAAAGCTCATAAGATTTTGAAACAACTCTACTTGAATGTATCATTATTTCTACAAAAAACCACCAGTAGCGTATTTTTTCATAGAAAAATGGGGCGACACCTCCAGTAGCACACCACTGGTTAAATTAAATGAATACGCTGTAGTAAATTTCATTCCATTCCGTCAGCGCATTGTGAAGATATGACAGAAAATATATTTTTTTCTTCATAAACTTGTTAATAAAATTAGATTTTCTCAAAAACGGCACAAGATATCGACCTGATACATGGTATAGCTTTTTTTTATCAAGGTGAGAGAAATCGAACTGTGAAAGAGAAATTTCAAATTTGGCAACGTCAAAGATGTATAAATTTAAATGGATAATTTCGTCTGCTCCTGTATAATCCAGGCATATTGAATATCGGTTTAAACTTATGTGTTGTCAAGATAATCACTATCAGACAAAAGAACGACGGGGCGTTATTTTGGAGCTAAAAACTTTCACAGGTAACTTGATGGACTAAAATATTTTTGTATAATTTCAAAGTTCGATATCTCAAACGGTTAAGGTTAGGTACATGACGTGCTATGCGAATTTTGTTTAGAATTTCGAGAAGAATTGAAATGTGGAATATCAGCTGTTCCAATAAAGAAAAAGCAACTTTGTTTCGTCATAACTTTTCGACTGATCCTGTATACTTAAATTTTCTTTATGAGAAATAGCTTTAAAAAAAACCATAAAACGCTTGTGTCGTATGATTTTTCTATAGCTATCTTACTGTAGGAGATAATCGGCCGTTTCCATACATATCAGCGACCCCGAACTAATACATGACTTACCAATTTCAGCAAAAGAACATCTAAAGTATCTCTAGTAACGTCGTCTATTACCTCAAAACCTTTAACGGTTACAGTTTTGAGGCAAAGCTTGCACGAAGTTTCTTGAACACCAGTCATTGCAATAATTTTCGTTGTAATGTAAATATTAAACCGTAACTTGTGTTCGTTGTTTAACCTCAATGAAGACAGAAGACATCGAATAAAGTTATTGTTCTTCTTCTTCTTCTGTTATCGGGACAACAAGAATGGTAAAATCTCGTCTATAATTCTTGCACAAACAATTAATTCTTCTTGTACACAGCACAGCGTTGCCAGACGTCCCGATTTTCAACCCAAAATTAAATGTCCCGCGTGGGACACGCTCAGTCCCGCTTTTCCCGCTCGATTTTCTTGAAGTGGCGTGTTGGTTTACATCTGAAAAACCTGTTTTTTGTTCTTGAATTCTCTTTGCAAATAACTATTACGGTTGCATTGTCTGTATCAAGTGCAGTTTCCAATTTACTTGAAACAAAGTAGTAACTATAATGTATTTTGCATTTGAAAATTTGTTCTATCAGATTTAAAGCAAATCGTATCCCTGTGATACCAACAAATACTAACCATGACACAGCAAATCGTCGATTTGCAAAAAACAATTAAACTTTCGGACGAAAACACCACTAAATTACACCAAAAACTTGACAAACTCATTAACAAAGAAATGACAGACAATATACCCCAGACAGGC